ACTACCCAAGCTGAGTCGTGGCCAGGACGCCAGGGCTGATGCCACAGGAAATGGAATGGCCCCACGTGGTCTGCACTATGCTCAGAGACAGAGATGGGTTAAATCAGAGCTGTGGGAACGCTCACGAAAGCATGGCACCGTTAAAGGCAGGGGTGGGCAAACTACAGTTTGGGGGCCAATTTCAGCCCATCAGACCTTTTAATCCGTCCCTCGAGCTCCTGCCAGGGAGCGGGGTCAGGGGCTTGCCCCGTTCTGCTGCTTCCGGAAGCAGCGGCATGTCTCCGCTCCGGTTCCTACGCATAGGGGCAGCCGGGGGCTCCGCATACTGCCCCCGCCCTAAGTGCCGGCTCTACAGGTCCCACAGCCAAGGGGGGGACAGGATGCTGCTTCCGGGAGCTGCTTGAGGTAAGCGCCACCCAGAGCCTGCACCCCATCCCCCTGCTCCAGCCCTGATCCCCCTCCTGCCCTCCGAACCCCTCGCTCCCAGCCTGGAGCACCCTCCTGCACCCCAAACCCCTCATCCCCAGCCCCACCCCAGAGCCCCGCACCCCCAGTCAGAGCCCTCACCCCCTCCCACACCCCAAACCCCAATTTTGTGAGCGTTCATGGCCCGCCATACAATTTCCCTACACAGATGTGGCCCTCGGGCCAAAACGTTTGCCCACCCCTGGTTTAAGGCCATCAGCCCAGCTCCCCCCCGCCCCGGCCCATCTGATCACAAGGTTCTCCCCCAGCTGCCCATGCAGTGCACATAGCCAGGTGTGGGAGGCGGCTGGGCGGCAGCAGAGGCGCGTGTGGGATTCTGGGGTCCCCTGCACTGAGCCGTGGTGTCGCTCTCCCTTAGGGCAGCCGTTGGCCACGGGAACGGGGACCTTGGTGCTGACCCTCGAGGATGTGAATGACAACGGGCCAGAGCCAGATCCACGGGAATTTTACATCTGCAATCAGAACCCAGTGGTCCAGTTGTTAAATATTGTGGACCTGGACCTTCCCCCGAACACCGGCCCCTTCAAGGTGGACCTGCTGCACGGCTCCGGCTCCAACTGGACAGCAACTGTGAACGCCCAGGGTAAGGGGCTGGGCCGCTGTGCGCCCCTCTCGGCTTGTCCTGCTGCGAAGCAGGCTGTCCACCCGCCCCGGCCTTCCAGAGCAGTCAGTTGTGGGGGGAGCTACCCCACGCTGGCGTTCCCACTTGGGCTGGTGGCCCAGGGGCTGTGGGGTAGAACTGGGCCCATCCGCCGGTTCTTTGTTGCTTTGTTTGACTTGCCAAAAGGCTAGTGGAGCCATAAGGCCTTTCCAGTTACTGCTTGTGCTCCCCCCACCCCCAGCAGAGCGAGGGGCAGGGACCTCAGTCCCCTCTGGGGCCTGGTGCGTTCTCACTAACCTGCCCAGCCAGCGCTAATCAGAAGGAGAATGTGAGAGCTCTGGAGCAGGCATGTGTCTGGTGGGCCGCTCTTCAGGTGCCAGCCAACCCTACTGGTCTCCTGAACCCACAGCGGGTACCTGAGGGTAGAGCCCCCCATGAAGGACCCCGAACGTGTGGAGGGGACTCAGGCTTCGCCACTCCCACTGGGCCTGCTGGTTGTAACCAGTAGCAGCTCCACCCCTCTTATGCCCCCAAGGCCAGTCACACTGCCAGCTGTAAGTGTTGCTAGCTGCCCCCCCACCCCCACGAACCCCACGCTCCATAAACCTCCCCGCAGGAGCTGGGCTTTGCGGACAGCCAGGCCGTCCCAGCGGGGAGGCTGCTCTGCAGCATATCCAGCCATAGAGCTGGAGGGGCTGGCGGTTTTGGCCTCCCCCCGCGCCGGGGTCCTGCAGCGGTGCTGTGACTGCCCGCCTCCAAGATCCCGTCCCTTTCCCTGGAGCGTGTTTCTGACTCGAGCCCTGAATCCTGCTCTCCCCCAGGAGTCAGTCTGGACTTAAAGCTTACCAAATACCTGGAGCCAGGAGACTACAGCATCATCCTGCAGCTGGCGGACAACCAGGGTAAATCCCAGGTGACGACTGTCAAAGCCATTGTGTGCGACTGTGACGGGGAAGCCAGGAACTGCGAGAAGAGAGCAGCCATCGCGGGCGGCCTGGGGATCCCGGCCATCCTGGGGATTCTCGGGGGAATCCTTGCCTTGCTGAGTGAGTACCGCGGGCGGAGTCCCTTCCCCTGGGGAGGAGCAAAGAGCCTCCCGCGCCTGCCAAGCGAGTGACTGTCGCGAAGGGCCTTAACCTCAGACTCACGGCAACTGCTGAAATGACTCCCAGCACAGCGTGCGCCGTTGTCTGAGCGCTCCCTGGCTGGAGCAGTGCGTCGGGGGACCTGCTCCCATGCTCTAGCGCCTGGCCTGGCGCTGCGGGTTGCTGGCCCCCCCAGATAACGGCAATGCTTTCACTCTCTCTTCCTAGTCCTGCTGCTGCTGTTGCTGCTCTTCGTGAGGAAGAGGAAGGTGGTGAAGGAGCCCTTGCTTCTCCCCGAGGACGACACTCGAGACAACGTCTATCACTACGACGAGGAGGGCGGTGGGGAGGAAGACCAGGTGGGTGGAGCTCGGAAGCCGTTGCTTCAGGAAGGCCCTGCTCTCGGGGGGCAGCGCGGCTCCCCTGCGTGCGTCTGGGGCTCTGCGCTGAACTTCTCCAGCCAGAGAGCATCGCAGGGACCTGCTCCGGACGCAGGCAGGGTGGCCTCTCTCGGTGCAGCCAGGCTCAGGTGGCCTGGCCGAGGTCACACAGTGGGTCAGTGGCACTGCCGAGCTCTGAAACCAGGATCCTCTCGATCCAGCCGCTCGCTGGGATGATTGGCTCTGCCGGTATCCCACCTCAATCCGCGCACGCGCACGCCGCCATCACCCAGGGCCTTGATCGCCAGCTGCCCCCTCAGATCTCGGACACCCCCCATGTCAGCCCCTCCGCCATGGGCCAGGCCGTTCGGACAGCCCGAGTGTGACTCGCTCGGCGCGTTGAGCGCGTGCGGCCGATGCACGGCAGGGCGGGGCCTGCAGAGCTGCGCTGCGTCTCTGGGTTCGGTTCCCCAGCGTGGCCCTGACAACGCTGCCCTCGGCTTCTCGTGGCCGGTAACGTCGGATTTGCTTGTGCTTCTAGCACTGACGTGAGCCAGTTATGGAAGAGGAGGAGGAGGAGACATGAAAACCCACCCCGGCCTTCAGCGCTCTTACCCCCTCCACCTCCCCCCACGGCCCAGTGTTGTCCTTCTGCTACCGCTACCCTGCAGGCCTCGGGACAGAGCAGGTCTCTGCCATGCCCCTGTGCAGGGCTGAGAGCGGGACACACCCCGAGGGAGGAGCCGCTGTGGGGTGACTGTGCAGTGGTGGGGGGAGTTCCTGCTGTTGGGCCCTGCCTGAGGCCCCCCCTTTACAACCTTGCTTTGGCTGCGGCTCGCAGAACAGCCTGGCTTTCTCCTGCTCGTTTCCTGACATCCCACCTCTTCTCCCTCCTCCGCAGGACTACGACCTGAGCCAGCTGCACCGCGGCCTGGATGCCCGGCCTGAGGTCACCCGCAACGACGTCGTCCCGACTCTCATGCCAGCCCCGCAGTACCGGCCACGCCCCACCAACCCCGACGAGATCGGCAACTTCATCGATGAGGTGAGTGGGGCAGGCAGAGTCGGTGACTCAGAGCTCTCTCTGTTAGCCAGGCGTCCCGTTGGCTGGGGCTGTGCAGCAGAATCCATTCCCGCAGGCTGGGCTGTGCGAGAACCCTTCCTTAGAGCCTGCCCCAGAATTCCTAAGGCTCTGTCTCTACGCCCGGGGGGGACACTAAAGCCAATGACCCAGAGCATGAAACTCACCGGGGCCAGGGCATTCTCGGTGTCAGGCCCTGGCTAGGGAGCGCTTTCCTGTAGTTCAGGACTTGCCCCCTTCAGAGCGCGATGCACAGCCCTTCTCTCCCCCCCAGTAGCGAAGGCAGAGAGAAGTCCGATTGCCATCCATTACAATGCTTGGAACTCAGCATTTTAATTCTCTTGGTGACAGCTCTGGGATCCCCTCGCAGCTGTGTGCAGTACCAGGGCGTGCCAGAGACATCTAAACACCTGGTCAGCACTGGGGGGCCAAGCCCACAGGGACAAAGGGAGGGGGAGATGGCATTCCTGCTGAGCGTCCTTGGGGGAGGTCGAGTGCCCTGCTGGATTGTCCCCGCACACCCCCCTTGGGGGGACTCAGGTGCCATTCCCAGAAGACTGCCCAGATCATCATGGTAGTGTTGGCCCTCTCGTTCCTCATCTGCTTCCATCAGCTGTGAAATAGTTACACGGTGGTCTGTAAATCACCGTCCTGTCACCCTGGGAATGGGGCAGAGCACCGCTGTCTTGGCTATTGGTTCAGGCTGCTTGCAGACGCCTGCCTGTCTGTCCCGAAGAGATGGGTACCAGTGGAGCTGCAGCAAAGCAAACCCCCAGTTTACATGTGCTGCCCCAGCGTGACCAGGCACCTGCCGCAGAGCGGCCCTTAGCCCTGTTGTAAACTGGGATAAGCCGCACCCGCGTACAGCGCATCTACGCTGGGGTGTGCACTGCTACGAATACCCCCAGTGCTGACAGGGCTCTGGGGGGATCCCCTGCACCTCTTCACAGTCAGCTCCTGTTGTGAAGGGTTCCTTGTGGTCACGAGAGCTCGAGGTGTAAGTTTCTTCCAAAGAGAAGCCGAGTCTCTAGCACGAGATGCCAGCTCCCGTGGGTGCTGGTGCGATGCAGGTACAGAGGGTGCAGGAAGGGCTGATTCTGGGACAGCAGAACTGTATTGCCCCTCCATTTAAGTCTGCCTGAGAGTCTCCTGAGGGCATCCCCCGAGTGGCACCTCTAGGCAGGGCGAAGCTGTTGCTCTAGGTCACGATTTAACGCTCCTCCCCACCCCCAGAACCTGAAGGCGGCCGACACTGACCCCACCGCCCCGCCGTACGACTCCCTGCTGGTGTTTGACTACGAGGGCAGCGGCTCCGAGGCGGCCTCGCTCAGCTCCCTCAACTCCTCCTCCGACCGGGACCAGGACTATGACTACCTGAACGACTGGGGCAGCCGCTTCAAGAAGCTGGCCGACATGTACGGCGGGGGCGAGGACGAGGAGTAAGCGCCGCCTGTGTGTTCGGGCTGCAGCCGGGCGACACCTGTGAGAAATGTCGCTGCGGCCCGTTCGACACAGACCAGCAAAGTCGCTGCTCTTCCCGAGTGGGCTGGATGGCTGAAATTCCCTTTCCTTAGCAGACAGTCGCACTACGTGAATCTGTTGTCCTGGCTCAGTTTCTTCAGTCCCCGTCGTTCAGCCGTGGATAGCCAGTGCTTTCCAGGTTAATGGGGGCGGGGGGAATTCTGTTTCGGGGGCATCCAGATTTCGGTCAACCAAGGGCCTTGGTGGCAGCCTGCCCAGAACACCCTGCACTTTGACGGCTTCACTGTAGGGGCTGCAGGTCCCATCGTGCTCAAGGCAGAGCAAGGCACGCTGGGATCGACAGCCTCCACAGACTGACTGTTTCTAGGACAGGGCAGACCTGGGCTGCTCTCTAGAAGCACAGGCCACAGTCCAGTTCGGTTTCCTCTCGTGCGGCTGGGGAGCTGCTGTTATTTCCCCCAGACGGCCAGGCGCTTCCACTTCCCTGTGCCCACGTGGGTGAGCACTCACACGCACCTGCTAAATGGCCTAGTCTTGCTGCTTTGCCGCACACTGGGCAAGGGGTGCCCGGAGAACGCACTCGCAGCATCTTCACCTGCCCTGCATCTCTTGCTGCAGGCCTCCCAGGACAGCCTGCTAACTTCTGGGGGCTCCTCTCTTCCAGCGGTGTCATTAACAGGTAACCATTTCCCCGGTGCTCTCAGAATACCTCATTCTGAATACAGGAAGCCGAGCGGGAAACTCCCCTCCACCAGCGTATGGGATTTGTTCACTTTTTAACACCACCCATTGTGTGGTTCGGTGCTGCGTGTGCCCACGGAGTAGATTCTGAAGAGCAAGCGTGAAGTAGCCTTTCTCAGTAACCGTGGCGATCAGCTACCGCTGGGCCAGTCTGGAACACAGCCAAATTGCAGGGGACTTTGCCAGAGATATTTTTTATTGAATTTTCAGATGCCACTTATTTTTTAATATTATCGTTACCCTTAAACAAGAGCTGCACTTTGATACGTTTAGCACTGTGCCAACCCAAAGACCAAAGACGAGGGTAGCCCTCTTACTAAGCAATCACAGTCACGGGAGATATGGGGGAGAGCCCCCAGGAAATCCTCAGGGAACGGACAGTAGATTCACACCCTTTCCTGGAGAGGAACCCCAGGACTCACTTCGGGAGCTCTGCTGGCAACTGCCCAAATACCTTTGTATGCTGGTTTTAATGAATCCAGCTTGCCCCTGTCCGAGCTCGGAAAGTGATGATAGTTTGTCTCTGTGCACTGCAGTAGTGACTTTCCATTTCTCTAAATAGAGTTCAGTGTTCTTCCCCACCCCCTACACTTTGCCATGCACTCCTTCCCCCTCCAAAAAAACCGGATTATAGACCAACTCTGAAGTAAAGCGCTGCAGAGGTGTGTCGTCTGTCCTCTGCCGCCTGGAGGTGTGACTCTGAAAAAGTGTCACAGGACGTTAGTGCCTAGTACACTTGGGGCTCTGCATAAATAAATGCAATGTCTAAAACCTGACTGTCAGCCAGTTTGATGCTATATTTTTGTATAAAGTTGTTCGTTCATATTTCTGAATAGGGGAGAGAGGATCTATGAAATTACCAGCCAATACCATGCCATGTTCTTTTCACATAGTATTTAGCAGGATGTCTTATTTGATTTAATAGCTATAGGCCGATTTATATTTTTCCATCGTGGCTACTTCCTTCAGTGTGGTGTCTAATCTCGAACGTGTGCAGTGTAATTACTGTGCAATGGAGCTTTTAAAACAAATGAAATGGCTTTAGTTGGTTTTTTCACAGACCACTTGAAAATTGCTGAGGGTCTCGGCGGACGACTTAATGATCTTTCCAAATGTTGTTTGTACTGTTAGCTAACTACTGTAAAGCGCTTTGGATAAAAGGGCTATATTAAAAAAAAAACATAATTCAATTTTTTTGGTTCTACAAATAAAAGCACACAACTCATATTTTAATATCCATAGTCTTATCTTTCTAACGCGATGGATGTGCCCTCTCTCCCCCGCCGCGGCAGCCCCCGAGCTGGGGCTGGGAAGGAGGGGGGGGGTCTCTCCCTCTCTCCCCCGCCGCGGCAGCCCCCGAGCTGGGACTGGGAAGGAGGGGGGTCTCTCCCTCTCTCCCCCACCATGGCAGCCCCCGAGCTGGGGCTGGGAAGGAGGGGGGGTCTCTCCCTCTCTCCCCCACCATGGCAGCCCCCGAGCTGGGGC